TTTCAAAACCCAACTCTCATGGCATTAGAAAGAGGATCATGAAAAACCTATAAAAAAATGGTTCATGAAATTTTAGTTCACTCATAAAGCTAAAGTCCGCTTGCTCTAGCTAAAAATGCCCACTGTGGAATGGAGTCCTGTCACTGAATAAAGTTGATAAATGTCATTCTTGTTTTCTCAGCCTTTTAGGATCAGTAGTACTGATAGAAAACCAAAAACTATATCCAGTTTAATACCATATTCATTTTTATTTCCCTCGAAAATTTTTCATTATAATGAAAGATTAGAAATACAATCATTGTCATTAAATTTCTTTGTATTCTGCCAATCATCTGTGCCAATTTACATGATTATGATTCCTGTTTTTTCCTGTTTCTTTCCCTCCTTTTACATTTACTTTATCGTATTCCATATGTTGCTGCTCTAAACATAATTCATTTTGTAATTAAGAAACGTTTCGTTATAATAGAAAAAGAAGGAAAAGAAGGAATCGTTACCTTTAAATACAAAAAAGATTCCCACTGCGTATAATTGCCGTTTAATTAGAAAACCGTAAACCACCGAAAAAGTTGGGTGTTTTCTTGCTTTGCACGATGACAACTGCACAAGCTATGGGTGCTAAATATAAAGCTATTAAAAGCTATGTAAAACCCTATATTTTTTTTCAATCTAATCTGCCATCAACAGATGAAGATGAAGCGAAAAATGCATTTATATCAACACGTTTATATTTTGTTACATTAATCGTCTCACTCATCGTTCTCGTTCTTTATACAACACTATTACCACGGATAAAAACTATTACAATTAAATCACCAACTATTGAACAATATACAAAATTATACGAGAAATATCCTCAAACATTAACTTGTCAATGTTCATCTATTTCAGTATCATATGGAACATTTATACAATTATCACTTAAATATCATCAACTATGTTCAAGTCAATTTATTACCGAGGAATGGATTGAATATTTGAATACTATATCATCAGATCAACTTTATTATCGTGATTTTCGTCGTGTTGGTGGTTATTCATTTCAATTATTATCTCGTTTATGTCATATAGTACAACAAACAATCAACAGTGAATTATTAATATTTCAATCAACATCTTATATCACACCGTCACTAGTATCACTGGAAGTATTTACTACACAAACTGAAGTATTTATAAAACAATTTCAATTATCAACTATCAATACATTTTTGCGCGAATTCAATTTTATACAAAAATCAATACAAGGTAATGGTCTAATGTCTGGTTTATTAACAAATATTGAATTAATCGATAGTTACGATTTTCGTTATATATTTATAAAACCATCAATATTTGTCAATAATAATTTAACATGCTCATGTGATGTTACACTCAGTTGTATTGAACCATTAGCAATATATGGCGAGAACAGTTTAACAACAACATTTATATTACCCAATTTCTATTTAGGTTGTTATATAGTTAATTCATTGTTACAATCAACATTGGAATGTTTTTTTGATCAACAATGTATAAATCAAATACAGGCATGGATAGAAATGGATTTCAATATAACATTACTTAATTCATCGATATCAAGTCAATATCAACGAAACACGACAATTCAAGAATTAGTTGATCAACTAATGATTGAACAATGGTCATCAGCAACATCATACAGCAGTTATTATGATAAATGCCATCCAACAGAATGTACATATTCTTATGTATATTCATTTGATATTCTCTATACAATATCCACACTTATTGCATTGATTGGTGGTCTCACAAAAATATTAAGAGTAATCGTACCAAATTTAGTTGCATTAATAAGTAGGAAAACGACATTACACGCCGATTACGGTAAGAAAAAATATTTATAGAGTAGACATCTGAATTCCTCGAAATGTGAACCTCCTTTATTTCTGCTTGAACAGTTTATGCTATAAATAGTGCTGTCAGTGGTTATCTTCTTGTTTATTTGCGTCTATGAACTCTCAATTTAGTGTTTATAGGTGAAATAAGTCATCTTTCTTTAGGAAAGCGATGCTTGTTAAACGCAGGAAGCTAAAACCCAGCCAAAATCTGCACTTAGTGAACCAAATTTAGAAAGGGAATAACTAAAGCATTGGAAAGGATATGGTGCAATACAGAGACTATTAACTGTAACAAGCATTAAACGAGATAAGGCAAGCGACGAATCAACTAAAGCTGTATGTAGTCTTAGTATAAATTTCAACAGCTTCCGGTATTATTCTCGTCGTATCTACATCGAGATTTACTCTCAAAAGTAAAGCTTTAGTCTGTGATATTGAGATCTCTACATCTTGAAAACTGAAAGAGACCAATTTCTAAAAAATAGCATGGTATAGAGTACAAATTGTGCACCACAAACTGGTAGAAAAACTGGAGAACGGTACTTTCAAATTTGTTAACTTTTTAATCAGGAAGTAGCTAGAGTAAACACTAATTTTATAGCAAAAGGAATCTTTCTTTTGGATAAAACGATAAAATTTGTTCTTTTCTCTCCATTTCTTGCTTTATATCTCTCTCTATAATGTGCATAGAAAGAAAAAAACATCAAGTCAGGTATAGTACAGAAAAGACTATATACATATATGTTCATTCTATTATACGATAGTTCCATATTCTTTTTTTCAAGCATATTGAATAATTCTGTTCTCAATTTTCTCTCCAATCCAGTGAATAACTTCACCGATGCGACTTTTGACGGCTTCCCTTAGTTTAATAGTAAAAGTTGAAAAAGCTGTTGTTCCTTTGATGGTGCGAGAGATGCTATTCCACTGAAGAGAAACAGTTGCAAAGTCGGTTGACTTAACTGCAATTCCTCGGAAGTTATGAACAATGTAATACGCAGATTTATTTAATGCTGCGACTTTTGAATAATGTGAATCTCATTTTTTGAAAATGATCACCGAGAGGCAATCCATGTATATCATTCAGAAGTTTAGCTTGATTCAGTAATTGCTTTAGACAGTAAAAGCGCCTCGTACTGAGTTTTATCTAATTTATCGATACTGTACTCCGTTGACAAAGAAAATAATGTTGATCCACATGAAGTATGCTTTTATAATAGTATTCTGCGGTTTCCGGGTGTGTTTTCCATTAAGTCCACAAGTGAACCGAGCTTCGTTCAAAGCATATCTTCAATAGGTAAAATCCATTAGTGATTATCTTCTGTAACATTCTGGACAGTTTTGTTGTTCGAGATGGTCATTGTGAGAGGCATATATTGAAATTTGCGAGATTCAGTAAAAAGTTGTTTTACATTTACTCACACTAAAATTCGTAAACTACTATGCAGATCAGTTAGAAAGCTATTGCATATCACGACTTAAGAAAAGAAGCGGATAATATATTCAAGGCATCGCCCGACAAAAATGATGGTTTTCTGTGCAAAAAGTTTGTCCCTGTTCTCGAGATTATCGGATATGTCATTAATAAAAATCAGGAAGTGTAGGATTCCAGAACAAATCCTGAGGCATTCCGGTATTTTATGACGTGAACCATTTCCAAGGTGAGGTGCGCTAGTTTCCATTAGTAGACTTCGCGCTAAAATTAATCATTTTTTCAACATTTTCGTTCATCAGTTCGTGGGTGGAAAGGATGATAAACATATTCTTCCGTAACGTATAGCAAAATCTCTAAGGACGAAGGCAAAAAAGCATTGAATTTCC